TGTGAACTCGTAAACACAGTTTGAAGTGGCGTGCATAGGCAGAGGGTCCTTAATCGGTCGAACTGGAATGGTCGTTGTTGTGCTTACGTACAGCAATTTAGCGGCAGGATAAGTTCTTTCAATCGTGCCTCTTAGTCTCAGTTTTATCACGTTGGAGACATTATCACCCTGAAAAGGGAGAAAAATGCTCATTGGCTATTTGAAACTGATATTTCAGGAGTCATTTCTTGTCTGCGGTTTTGATACTTATCAATGAATTTCTCAGGGTAGCCGTTTCCAAGCAGCACATTCTTGAGAAAAGTCCTCTCCTCATCGACCGTATCCGCAGAACAGATTCTAGCAGCTCTATTGAAAAGGCACAATACCAAATTTTGTTTTCACTTAATTGGTACGAAACTAAGAAAGTGCATGTATTGTCCTTTCCACGTGGTTTTCCGATATATGGACCTTTGAATGGAACCATCTGCGCGCTTGCGGACAAGCACGTCTAAGAAGGCCAGTGTGTATTCCTTCTCATGCTCGATCGTAAATTTGATCTTTGCATGTGCCTCATTCATAGCTTTAAGAAGCAGTTCTCCCTTCTTAGGGCTTTCGATTATGACAAAAATGTCATCCACATATCGTCAATAAAAGGCAGTCTTTTCTATGTGTTTGGCTAGTTTTCTTTCAAGGTTCGACATGAAAATATCTGCAAGGACTGGCCCAAATGGAATACCCATAGCTACGCCGTCGATCTGTCGATACAGCTGCCCGTTGAACAGGAACTGCACATTCTTAGTGCATATCTCTAATAGTTCCCGTAGTAAGCTTGCTTACAGACATTTTTCAGCCGCATGCTCACAAATTATGTCAATGGTTTCATCCAGTGGCACGTTTGTGAATAAACTTTGCACATCGCGTGACAAAATGTGCTTATTACGTAAACTTTGGTTCTTCAGCTCATTTACGAACGAAAAAGTGCCCTTGGTCGTATGAGCAGCAAGGTTGCGTCTAATAGGTTCAGTTTGGACTAGCCATTGGGCAAGCTGCGGTGAACCTCTCATTGATAGAATTGGCCGTAATGGCACTCCAGGTTTGTGTAATTTTGGTAGCCTTCTGATATTCTTAATCTGTCAGAGCACACCCCATTAATTGTCTGGAAAGCATGCCGAACTATCCAAGTTACTCTCAGAAATTTTAACACCAGCAAGGATAGAAGCAGCTTTCATTAAATGTACGTAAGACCAAGTCTGAAATAATAATAATAATGTTTATTGGTAAGGCACCTCGTGTGCACCTCTTTTTTGCACTCAATGTTGGCTTTGTGTTAGTTTTATGCTAAGTCAATAGCGTGCAAGATAGGGAGTTTGTTCTATGTGAAAAAAAGCCAGTCTACAAAAGTGCAATAATATCAAAAAATGGAAAATAATATCTGTGCAGTATAGGTGTTACAGTTTTCGAAGTAGGAATATTGCAGGTCTAGAAGCAGTCCATCATTGATGGATTTTGAATTGATTATTCTATAGAGGTATATTCAGCTCGGAAGAATGAAGAATTAGTCCAACATTTCTCTTTTAAAAGAGTTTTCTCTTCAAAACGCCGCAACTTATTCTACCAACAGTGTTATGAACTTACTAAGGTCGATCCCTTGTGACTTTGCAGATTACAGAAGGGACTATTTTCACCGTTTAAACTTTCAAATGGTCATTTATCTAATCCCCTTAGTACTGTGAGACAGCTCGACCAGCCTCCGCGCGCCACTCATCCAGATGTGCTTTCTAATTTTCCTGTGGCACGCAGTTAGATATCGTCAGTTTTTCAGTGAAGGCCACAGCAATCCGGTATAAGCTACCCAGTAGTATTAATGGTCATCTCAGCTATCCCTTGTTTGAGAGAGCTATGACTGGTTTTCTACATTCAGGACAACTTTCACGAATGTTGGATGCTGACTGGATGAAATCTTTCTTCCATTCTAATGGCTTTTGCGGGATCTGAATCCTGTGCCAGGTTTATGTTGAGAGCAATGGTGCTGAATCTGCAGCCCGCAATCGGCTAATTCTTCAGCTGACAACGAGAAACCGTTCGCCGAAACACATTAATCCGGCGCAGAATATCTGATCCGTAAAAAATCAAGGGAGAATGAGAACACTGTGTTCACGTGTCAACAGTTTCCCGCTCGGAACTTCAACGAGCTACAGGTTTTTTCTCCCGAAAAACACTAGAGAGTATGACCATGAGTATTTCTCACTTTCAATTCGATCCTTTACTGTATATCTCTT